TTTTAGAATTCTACTATTTATAAACTGGGCTCTGAATTACATACTTAATTCACCAACTTCAAACTCGGGTAAACAAAGACTTTCCAAGGGGTACATAAGCATGAATAAGTTCTATGGGAATCAATTTTCAGACCTTCAGTTTCCCCATATTCTCTTTCCCAAGATGATCTGCCTGAGAACTCACCTGCAGTCTAAGCTCTGTGCTCTCTCTACTTCTGACCTCCTTCTTCACAGATGACCTTCTCTTGCTTTAAAAAAAAAGGCAGGTCTCTCACCCACCCCAAATCTTACAAGAGTACGTTCCCCAAAATTTTAAAACCTCTATAGTGCCAAACAAAGGGTATCAGCAAAACCCTCCTTTCCTCAAGGCACCATGACTATTATCATTTTAATCAATTATGCATTAATTGTAATAACTCAAGCCAGAAAAGATTTAAACACTTAGAACACTTGTGTTTATAAGAATACATATTACAGTAGTAGAGAAATTGGAGAGATGATCAATAAAGCACTTCTACGCACAAAAATATATTATAGAATTCTGTGGGGAAAATGCATGCATGGAAATGATTTCAAAGACAAAAAGGAACAATGTAAACTTTCAGACTGTTAGGAGTCTGTTCACATATTTCATAAAATAAATACTATCACAATATTATAGTATTTATATTTAAATGGATGCATTTAAAATGAGAATATAATAGCTTTATTTCAAAGTGTCAATATTTCAAATACACTGGAGATTACATTTTTCAACTATTTAAACCCAGTGACAAATAGCAGATTTCAACTTAAAAATACATGAAAGAATCTTTTTCAAAATTCTTTTATGGGAATGCAAGCAAAATATTTTGAAGACCACTGCTTTATATACATTAATTTTCACTTAATCTTGTGATAAAGTTAACATTATCTCCCATTTACAAATGAGAAAACTAAGGCCTGGATACGTCAGGTCACTATGCCTTATTAGCTAAAAGGCACATGATAAACGGTGAGATACTCAATCGCCACACAAAACTGTTCCTCCTGATGTAAGCATGGTCAATAGGCACTAAATAAAAGTTGGGAAGACCTTGTAAAGAATCAAGAGAAAAAAAGGCATCTAAAGGAATAATCAGAAATCCAGTTAGCATATTTTTATAAAGCCATTCTTAGCAACGATCCATTAATTAGCATAAACTGTTCCTAATCTCCTAACTTCAGTAATTCCAACTTAAATCTCAATTCTACTCACATTTTCTAAAATACTCATTTCGATAATTCATTCTTTATGTCCTTAATTTCTATCACTATCATCTCCAATAAAAATATCCTCCACAAAAAAATCCTCTCTCAATTTTCCTACACTCGGATCATAATAATCTTGGCACCTAAAAATTTTTCTTTCAAATGACTTGGACGGCTATGGGTGAACAATCTCCATGAAGACAGATTGAAGATGGATAGATAGGTTTATGAGACTAACGATAATGGTATGAGAAAGAGAAAGAGAGAGAGGAGCTGACCATTTCTCAATTTCTATCGTTAAATAATAAATATCTCTTTTCTTCTTTTATTTTTTCCAAGGAAATATATTTACATTCTCATCCAGTTATAATGAATTAAGGTGACGTCACACAACAATACAATACTTAGAATAAAACAGAGCAGTGGTACTATGTTGAACGGCATAGAGGCTCAATATTTCCTTCTAAAAAGTGTCTAATGGGGCTGGCCCAGTGGTGCAGTTAAGTCTGCAGGTTCCACTTCGGCGGCCCAGGGTTCGCCGGTTCGGATCCCAGGTGTGGACCTACACACCAGCTGTCAAGCCATGCTGTGGCAGGCATCTCACATATAAAGTATTGGAAGATGGGCACAGCTGTTACCTCAGGGCCAGTCTTCCTCAGCAAAAAGAGGAGGACTGGTGACAGATGTTAGCTCAGGGCTAATCTTCCTCAAAAAAAAAAGTGTCTAACAATTGATAATCTACATTTGCTTGACAAGGTTTGTCTATAATAGCTATAGAAAAGCCCACCTAAGTTTAAATGGTAACTGGTTTTGGCTGTGTCCTTAGGTTCAGTATTCTTCTGCATACGATTATTAAGGAGAAAATAAACAGATGAATTTAAAGAATGTGACATTTATCTTTATTCTAATAAAGAGTATCAATTACAGTCTGAGTAAATTGAAAATATGACTTGAAAAAATAGTATTTCAGTGATTCTTTTTTCCCCACAAATATTCTACTTTGGTTCAAAATAAGCAAAATATGATGATTGAGAGCAAACTGGATAATCCAAATAGTGGCCATGTGAAACTACCTAAATAGTATTTTGCACTTTTAATGAATTATTTTTCAAAATTTGAAATTTGTTCCAGTATTTAGTCTATCATGAAACAAAAAATGCTTTCCAGTGATCAGGCCACGACACACGTAAATTTGTTCCAGCATGAAGTCTGGCTCTTAAACACAAGACTCCTAATCAATCTGCTTATAGGCGTCTATGAAATACAAACCTCCCTAATGGCACAAAAAGATGGGTATGTTTATTCACTTATAAAATAATTGTGGCTGGAAGAGTTCTAATTTGGAAACAAGTTTATCAATTCCCAAAAAAGCAGAGCACCTATGAAAGCCCCAAATCAGGTATAAAGGTATGCAGAATCATTCTTCATAATTATGGACTTTAATCTTTACTGAATAACTGCCATATGCCCAGTCATGTAATCCTGGCAAGAATTCCATGAAATATTTTTCATTTCAATTTTACAGCAAGGGAAACCGAGGCTCAGGGAAGGCCAGTGACTTGCTCAGAGCAAAAAAATCAAACAGCTGGGAACTGAATTCAGTCTATCTTAAGCCAATGTATGCTCTTTCCAAATGTCAAGCTAAAACCTGAGGCAGCACAGTAAACTCAACATGCCATTCCCCTACTAGCTACATCAATAAAGAACATCAGTTTCACAAAACATTTAAAATTACTTGAAGCCCAAGAGTACACACACTGATAGCTTTTGAATAAAATGGAGTAACAGCCTTGTCATTTGGAAGGCAACCCTGATCTAGTGAGCCCTCTTGTATCGTTGCTTTACCTACTGAAAAACAGCCTGCACTGACAATCCTTTTAGCACTCCTTATTTTATCCTGTCCCTGGGGACAGGAGGAGATGCTACCTAAAACTCTTTAAATGGTTGGTAAATATCATTTTGCATTGCACTAATGGGCAAAGGAGGAATGAAAATACCCATCTATATACCCTATAATCAAATAAACATGCTATTTCTCCCAAGAAAATACAAGTAAGCCCTATTAATACCTAATACAGAATTCCAGAGTCCGACACAGACACAACGTTATCAGCGAGCAATGGGCAAAAAACTGACCAACTGTAAGAAGACAATAAAAAGCCCCTTCAAAGTCTGTCCAAAGCCTGAACTGAAGGTCTGGGGTGGGGTAAGGAGAAGGAAACACGCTCCACTCCAAGAGGCTCCAGCAAGGGCGCCTCCATATGCGTAACTCTCGCCCAATCCCCGTCCAGGCTGAAATCCCGTGACCGCCAGGGAGCCTGTTTGGAGAAAAGTAGACAGGGAGCCCGCAAGCTGGGTTGGCAGAGGACGCTGGAACCTGGCTGCTCGGGGAGAAAATGTCTCCTTGGCAGCTGCAACCACTGTCCTGTGGTCTGACTTCCTAGGGCTGGCTCGAGAGCGAGGTGTGCCTCTGGCTTCTCCCCACCCCCTTCTCCCATCCCTTTCTGCAGCTCCTACACCCCGCAGAGCTGTCGCGACCAAAGCTACACCACCTAGCCAAAAAGAAAGAAAAGAGAAAATCCCGTGTGCGCGCAGGTCGGGCAGGTCTCGCCCTCGGCTTTGGCCGGTGACAGCAGCCCGGGCATCCGCCGCCCTTGCGGAGCGCGGCCCTCCGCTCCCCGGGGCGGGCGGTGTGGCAACTGACATTTGCAGGGTTCTTCCACACACAGCCCGCACGCCCTCTCCTCCAGCCCTCGGCCCCGGACCCCCGAATCCGCCGAGAGCCATCTCCCTCTGCTCCCCCCGACCTCGCCTCGGGCTCAAGGGGCAGAAGGGCGATGCCACCAGCGGGCAAGTGGCCTCCGAAGGAACCATGTTAACCTTGCAATGCACACATCTGCCCACACGCCCTGTGTCACATCCCTGCCAAGCCTGACAGCCTCCCCGCCAGAGATGCCTGCCCATCCCTGCCCCGCATCCCCTCCCAACCGCACACCCGGACCCCTACCCCGCCTGCCCGCCCGCTCTCTACCCCTTCCACCCTAAACCAACCCCAGAAAAGGGGAGACAGGATTTTACTTAAGGGGAGACAGGATTTTACCTGGATCAAATTCAGGGATCCGAGCTTGGTATTCAGCTCCGACTCTCATCCCAACATCTGCAAAGCAATGCCAAAAAAAGGAAAGGAAAAAAGAAGAAAGAAAAGAAAAAGAAAAAGGAAGAGACACTTAATAAAAAATAAAAATTGCTGGGAGGAGGAAAGAAGCGGCGGGTGGATGGGAAGATATTAACTCCGGGCACTCCGGGAGATGGCAGCGGATGGGGGCGGGGAGCGGGGGGGGCGAGGGCGGAGGATTGGTCGAGGGCGGAGGGACGGGGGTCGCGGGGGGTGCTGCTGCACTGCACCGGGAGTTCGAGGCTACCGCAGCGCCCGGGCTCCGAGGGGAGGGAGGGCGGGAGCGCGGCGAGGGGAGGGGGCTGGGGGAGGGGAGGGGAGGAGGGAGGGGGGCAGGCGGGCTGGCGGGGAGGAGTTCGAGGCTACCACCGTGCTCGTCGTCGCTGCTGCAGCCGCTCTCGGGCTCCGAGTAGTGCAGCCCGCCGTTGGTGGAAGAGGCGCCGCTGCCACCGCCGCCCGCCGGGCTCTTGGCGCTGCCGTTGGCCGATCGGTTCTTCCCCAGTAACTCGGGCCCTTTCTCCATCATGCCGGGCATGGTAGAAGAGGGGAGGGGGAAAGGTGAGGGGAAGAGGTAGGCGTCAGGGTGAAGGGGGAGATGGCTTACGAGTGCGGGCGGGAGGGAAGGGAGGAGGAGGAGGAGACGGCGGTGGCGGCGGAGGAGGAGGAGGGTGTTAATATGGAGCCGCCATAACCGCCCCGGTCCGGCAGTAGCGCAGTCGCCTCACAACAACCCGCCCCGGCCCCGCCTCTCTCCCCTCCTCCCGCCGCCCGCCCCGCGCAGTCCCGGGCGCCCCTCTCGGCCGCGCCGCGCTCTACGCCGCCGCCGGTATCACTCCGCCCCGCAGGGAGGTTCCGGCCGGCGGGCGGGGGGAGGGCGAGGGGGGGGGGGGGGGGGGGGAGGGGGAGGGGGGAGGGGCGGGGAAGCCCGGCTCGCCGGCAGCTCGGGCAACCCCAACCGAGCGCTAATAAAATCGCCGCAGAGGCGCGGCCGCCTCTCGGGCTTCCTTCCTAGGGGGCGCTCTGGAACGCGGACGGAGGCGCTGGCGAGGGCGCGGGACTCTTTGCCCTCTCAGGGCGGAAGGAACGCAGCCAGCCTGAAAAAGGGCCGGCGCGACCCGAGCGCCCGAGTCCGCGGAGCGGCCCCCCTCTCTCCGAGGGGGTTGAGGGGCCGGGCGGTCCGGCCACCTTCGGTCGGAGCGTCGTCGTGTCCGGACGCTGCGGCAGGCCGGCTGCTGGGCTTCAGGGCGCCTCCGCGGAGGCGGGCAGGGTAGCAGGGCGGCTTTCGGGTGCCGAGGCCCAGCCGGCCGGAGAAGAGACTCGGGCATCAGTATCCGGACGCTGCACTGTCTGTTTCGGAATCTGTGAACCGGGGCTTGATGCCCTAGGGAGACAGGGTGCCGAGACGAGTTTCCGGTGCTGGGCAATGCAGCTGAAAGGTTTTGCTAAAAGGTTTTTTTTAACCCTTCTTCCCCGTTTTCCTATCATGATTTTTTCTTTTTTTTTTTTTCGTTTTTGCTATTTTGTTAGGGAGTGGGTGCTGTCAACGGTGAAATAGAATTAGGACGGGGGTCCTTGCCCACTTGGCACCAACTCAGTCCTCTCTGACCTGTGGTCACGGCTGCGAGCAGAGCTGTAGAGAGGGCGGAGTCCTCAAGGAAAGGTGCAGCGAGAGCTGCATTCTGGCAGGGTTTCCAGCCTGGCAGGAGATGTGCTCTGTAATGCTTTTCTGAATCGCGTTAGGCTGAAGGAATAGGGAACTGCGTTTTTCGTTCACCAGATTTGAGGACTTCTGCTGATTTGAGGACTTCTGCTATGTGCCAGGCTGCCTGGCATTGGGGGCTGTTGATGATTTTCTTTCTTTTTTACTCAGGAGGAAGTAGAAATGCAGACTTATGGTGAGCATTTAGTATGCAGGTGTATGCAGAGCAGTATTTAGGGTCAACGGCAAGGTATTTTCCAAACGATTAAAAATAAAGATTGCCCTGCAAGAATCCTATGATAGGTCAATGCAGAGTGGATCAAATCAGTCTCTCCGACCAGAGCAAGGCTCCACTGCATGAAATAACATACCTAAAGCAGGAATGTCTCAATCAGGAATTGAGCCAAGAAAAGCCTGGGAAGTAAATATTTGGCAGGTGCTTGTCTACTGGGGAAAGTCTCCTGGGCAGGTACAAAACCGATCTGGTTCTGGCAGTGGAGATAGCTTCATCTCTTTATCAACGCTTGCTAAGATTCCATTAAAGATTTGAATCGTACAATTAAAACTTTTATTTCTTTTCTCCACAGATACAGTTCTGAATATTATTTTAATTCCTACATAGTTTTTCTACAAGGAGAGAACGTCCTGACCAAGTGAAATGAATAGTCATTTCTCTTGACAGTAATATGTTTCATTGTAAATTAATTTGTTGGTATTTTGGTTGGTAGGCATAAGCTTCCGGTGAACATGATTCAGCATCTCTGGTCCTGTAACAAAAAGGCCAGACCCTGAACTGAGTGAATTCCCAAAGATAAATGTCACTGAGGCCTCTTGGCCAGCCAACTTTGTAACACCCCAGCTTTGCAACACCTTCCAGCTGCTTTTCTACAGAAAGGAATTTCTGCACATAGATCAAGGACCAAAATATTGTGACGATTTGGGGACTTTTGTAACTTATTTCTATTTATTAATAAAACCCATAAAGTGAAAAGATCCCACACTTTTCTTAAATACAGAGAAGGCAGAGCAGGGCAGGCTGCATTGCACTCGGGAGAAGAACCTCAGGGACCGGGTGGGTTATGGCACTTTACAAAAAGAAAGGAAGTTTCTGTTTTGCCCCTGAAAAAAAGGAAAGTGACTGAAGCTGGCCTGTTCTGAAGAATAAAATGGGCCTTAAAATGATTTCCCAAAAGTTAACAGGGACAGTAAAGAAAAAGAAAAGCTAAGGAAAACTTGAGAATGACTATCTATAAGGGGTTGGAGGAAGAGAAGCAGCAGCTGGGCAAAGAAGAAGAAAGCTTTAAGAAAGGATTAATAAACAATGTCCAATGATACAGAGTTGCAAGAAGGATTTAAGAAAAGGCCTTTGGTTATTTTGTTTGCTTACTTTTTTACTGTATTTAATTGTTTTTTCTTTTACTGTTGTATTTCATTGTATTTCATTGTATTTCATTTTTCTTTTACTGTTGTGTTTCATTGTATTTTAAATTTGGAACAGACAATACATTTTCATAGTTCCAAAATCAAAAGGTATAAGAGGATATATTTCACTATTGTACTGGACATCCTAAGGATTGCAAAAAGGCAAGGGAAAAAATGTATAAGAATTGGAAAGAAATATGTGAATCTGTATTAGAAAGTATGATGGTCTATATATAAAATTATAATAATCTATAAGCTTGTAGTATTAAGTGAATTTAGCAAGTTGCTGGATACAGTCAGTATATAAAGATGAATTATGTTTATATACTAGTGCTAAACAAAAGGAATTTTTATAAAAGTGATACCGTATACAAATGCATCAAAAATATCAAATATCTAGTGTATTGATTTCCTATGACTGATATAACAAATTAAAACAAACTCGATGTCTTAAAATAAATTTATTCTCTCACAGTTCTGGAGACCGGAAGTCCAAAATCAAGATGTCAGCAGGGCTGTACTCCTTCCAGAGGCTCCACAGGAGAGTCTGCTCCTTGCTTTTTCCGGTTCCTGGTGTCTGCTGGCATTCCTCGCATTCCTTGGCTTGAAGCCACGTCACTCCAGTATCTGCCTCCATCTTCACAGCGCCCTCTCCTCTGTATGTATCTCGAATTTCCCTCTGCCTCTATCATCTAAAGACACTGCCAGCATTCAGGGCCCACCTAGATAATCCAGGATTATCTTCTCTTCTTGAGAGCCTTAACTTAATCACCTCTACAAAGACCCTTTTTTCAAAGGTAGCATTTACACGTTCCAGGGAGTAGGCCCTGATATCTTTGGGGCACCATCCAGCCCATTGCCCCTATGAATAAATCATAATGAAAGATGTGTAAGAACTCTATACTGAAAATTATATTTTTAGAGCATTTAGAGAAGAGCCAAGGAGATGGACAGATATACTATGTCCTGGCTTGGAAGACTCAATATTATTGTAAAAATGTTAGTTCTCTCCAAATTGACCCGTAGATTTAGTCTAATCCCAGTTAGAATCCCAGCAGGTTGTGTGTGTGTGTGTGTGTGTGTGTGTGTAAATTAACAAGCTGATTCTAAAACTTGTGTGGAAATTCAAAAGGTCAAGAACAGCCAAGATGATCAAAGAAGAGCAAAGTTGGAGGCTTCACACTACTGGGTACTAGAAAGTAGAACAATGGAACTGAGTAGAGTTACTAAAAAGATGCTTCTGTGAACATTTTATTTATGCAAAGGTAACTGTAGTAATGTGGAGAAAAAAATGGACATTTCAATAAATGGTACTGCGTCAACTGAATATCCATGGGGACAAAAGGGAACCTTGATGCCTACCCCTGCTAAAAAAAAAAAAAATTAATTCTAAATAGATTGTGGACCTAAATGTAAAAGATAAAAAAATAGAGCTTCTACTGCTTCTAGAAAATACCTGGATAGTAGTTTATTATCTTTATAACTTTGGGTGGTCAAATACGTCTTAGGATATAAAAGGCACTAATTATAAAGGGAAATATTGAGCATTCCATGTACAGAAAATAGTATGGAAAATGCAAAGAATCTTGAATCATTATATCATGTCAGGGAACTATGAATTGTTTAGCATTCCTGGAGCATGAAGTGAACTCAAAATGAGGCTGGAGAGGTAGGCAAGGGCTGAACCACATAGAGCCCTTTATAACATTCAAAGGCTTAAATATTTACTCTATAGATAATGGAAAAGGATCAGAGGGGTCTACACAAGAGATTCCACCCTCCTGACTTAAGTGCTTCCCAAAGTCCCACTTACTATGCCATCACCTTTGGGAGTCAGCATTTCAACATGTGGATTGGGGGAGACACAAACATTCAGACTACAGTAGTATATAGGTATTTCCTTTGTAACATACACACGTGGAAATAACATAGCTACCTATACATGCTCAGAATATTTCTGAAAAAGTACATAAAACTGTTTACCTCTTGAGGGGGAGGTGTCAGAGTCTAAGAAGGAAGGGAGACTTTATCTTCCTCTGTATTCCGTTGCACAGTTGGACTCTTTTTGCCATATGTATGTATTACTATTTCGACAAATTAAATGTTTAAAGAATCGATAGGCATAAAGCAGATAATTATAGTTTAAAAAACAAAATAATATTAAAATAATGTATAAGTAAAGTTCTAGCTAGTAGAAGTTAGAAAGTAGAATGGAAGAGGAAAGATGGAAAGAGGATGGGGTATTATCCTCATTCTACAAAAGAAAAAGATTTTAAGCGGGGCAGTAACTGGACTGCAGCTTGACTCACCAGCTACACTAGGGCACACAGGAAGGACCTCAACAGAGGTTTGATTCATGTTCACCAGGCTCATAATGATTTTCTTTGTAACACCAAGTTTGCTGAAGAGTTTATTGATTTGCTCTTTGGTTCTCCTTCATTATTACTTTGAAGTGACTGTCTCAGAATAAGTTTAACTCCAAAATGGAGTCAGGCCATGCTGTGCAGCGTGGCCAGGAGACTGCCCAGCATTGAGCCGCTCGTGTTAGGCCCAATCTGGTGGTGACAGCTCAAACGTGTTTATCAATAGGGAGGAGCTTTGTATTTTTGTTTTTGTTTTTTAGAGCCACTGATCCCTAAGGAGGGGAAAATCATATAATCTTAAGAGCTAAAAGGACGTTTAGAGATCTGGTAACCTCCTTTTTCTTCACCTCCTAGAATATTTATTATTTCTAAAGGTAATCTTACAACCTCCATTTAAACAGAGAGAGAGGTAACTCTCCATCACAAAGTAGATCATGTCATTTTTTTTAAGGTGTCTAAGTCTTAGAAAATATCTCTCACTTGTTTTTTTGTATCCAAAGTTCAACGACATATGAGAAACCCCAAATAACAGTGTCTTGAACAAAATGAAAATTTCTTTCTTTTCATGTAAAAGATATCCGTAAGTGGGCAGTCCTGGGCTGAAATGACAACTGCAATGAAATTGTTGGGGATTCCGGCTCCTTCTATCTCACCCCTCCACCATTCCTAGAGTGTCACTTTTGCCCTTGTGATCCAAGATGGCTGCTAGAGTGCCTGTCCTCATGATCACACTCCATGCAGCAGGGCAGGAAGAAAGGCAGAAGGGCACACCTCTTCTCTTTAAGGAGACTTTCTGGAAGTACCGCATACTGTTTATGCTGATACATCAATGTCCAGAACTGAGTCACATGGCCCACTAACCTCAAAGGAGGCTGGGAAATATCAAAGTGCTCAGCTAAAAGTCAGGGTTCCGTAGGAGGAAATGAGGACTAAAAGGCACCCAGCAATCTCTGTCACACTGGCTCTTTATTTGAAAACAGCAATCATGTCCCTCTTCAGCTTCTTTTTCAGACTAAACATCATTATTCCTGTTGCCAAGTCTTCACTGATATTGTCTTCATATCCTTCACCTTTTTAATTGTCCTATAAATATGCTCTAATTTGTACTCAAGACACGCCTCTCCAACTCTGTGAAATCTAATTGGTGCAAAATCAATTGGAAATATTTTGGCCCCTTTTCTTTGCACCATGTTTTTATTAATCCATCCTAAAATTAGCTTTCTTGGCAACAACTGCACGTGGTTACTAAATCTGGAGTTAACTGCATCCTCTGGGTATTTTTTACATCTGTTATTATTTAGCCTGGTCTTTCCCCGCTTAGACTCCAGTAGGGTTTTTATTTTCCTGTTTTCCCCATCTTGAGTAAGCGAGTATAAATGTATTGCCGTTTAATTTCACTTGGCTTGTTTTAGCTTATGTGAACCTTTTGAGAACTTTTTGAATTCTAATTTTCTTACCCAGCATTTGCACCTATGATAAACTGAATTTGAGTTTGTTTAATGAATGAATTCTGCAGTTAGAAGTAAAGAACATTTTCTAGAAGTTTTTTTTTAAGTCCTGGAATTGTTTATGAAATCTCTCTGTCTTAAAATAATACAGACTTTGTCTGGGAGAATTATATTCGAATGTATATACAGTCTTCTAAAAGCAGGCAGGTGGTTTAAACAGTTTTGCTAAATTTATAAATCATAAAAATATGATTGAATAATGATTTATTTGGCTAAAGAAAAAGACGAGACAGTGAAAACTTTCGTTTCCATCTTAACTCTGCCCCTGAAACAGTGTCCTTTACTAACTCATTCACTTCTTTTTCCCTCAATTTCTCAAATTATAAAATAGAATTCACAAATTATTTTTTTTCTGTTTTAAAAGGCGTTTAAAGAACGCATTCATTAAAATCAGTCTACAGGGAATTCTGGGATTCAAATAATGAGGTAATCTGAAGATTTGAGAATAAGATTAGATATGTCAACCTCTGAAGTGGAAACAAACTAACATTACATTGATTTGTGGACATGATTTTAGAAAGTAACTTGAAAATGTTTCAGGAAAATGTTGCGCATGAGATTAGGGGCTCCTAAAATATTTTCTTGGAGATTGGAGATAGTAATCTAAGTGTAACATGTAGAATAATCTATAAATTTGACACTTAATGCCAAAATACAGTCACTGGCACACAGCAACTGTTCAGATGTTAATTACTTCTATTAAATGTAAAGATTAGAAATAAAATCAAAGAGGGGCTGGCCCGGTGGTGCAGCGGTTAAGTGCACACGTTCCACTTCAGTGGCCCAGGGTTCACCGGTTCAGATCTCGGGTGCAGACATGGCACCACTTGGCAAGCCATGCTGTGGTAGGCGTCCCACATATAAAGTAGAGGAAGATGGGCACGGATGTTAGCTCAGGGCCAGTCTTCCTCAGCAAAAAAGAGGAGGACTGGTGGCAGATGTTAGCTCGGGGCTAATCTTCCTCAAAAAAAAAAAATCAAAGAGCTTCTCCAGAACTGACCAAGGAGATGGCACCCTGAATGTATACAGTGGTCCCTTATTTAGAAATATTCCTAGAGATAATAATACAAAGAAACGGATTCCCTGGAAAATCTCAATTTAGTAGGATATAAATAGGATTTTAAAAAGTAGCCGTTACCAACTGTGCTATGTTTAGCCCCCTTTCCCCCTAGATACAGGGCCTCTTAGCTACATCTAGATCTAATTCCATTATTTTTGGTTATCAGAATAATGCCGTTCTGTTTAGCACAGGCCAGATTTGTGGCTCTCAGGGCTTGCATGGGTATGAGACCCTTCCCCGGCTTTTCCCCCAGCGCTTTGAGTGGGTCCAAGGAGGAAGAAGAAGAGAGGCAGACTGTCTTCTTAATTCTCTCTTCACAGCAGGCGGTAGCCTTCATTCTGTTGTTGCTGCTGCTTCTCTGTTTAACACTCACTGGTTATGGCAGACCCAAGTGCTTTGGGTGCTTTCGTTGGTCTTCAGAAGGGCTTTACCCCTTCTCCTGTCCCTCAGCCTGTACTGTCAGTGACTCACCCCACAGCTCTTACTACTGTCACCCTCACCCAGTGGGCAGCCCTCTTAGATGGTGTACCAAAAACATGGTAAGTATACAATTAATAATAATGGGAGTCATTGAGACAGGAGAATTATTGGAGAACTTATTACCTCTCATTACTTATGAGCCATGGATTGCATTTTGAAAATAAGACTTTTTAATCATAAGATACTTGAAACCTCTGTGAAGCAACATTTTATAGATTGAGATGTAAGAGAAATGGGTGTGATAGGAAAGTATTAAGTTGAACTAATTTGTGGAAAAAAATTCCTACCTATGTTTCCAATTTTTAATTTTATATGCTGTTTAAGCTAGGAATACTGCCAGGACATGGATTATAAACTGAATGAATATATGCCAGTGGGAAAATCAGGGCTTAATACTGTTTATATATAATATTGTGTTAGTAAGGACTTGCCACTTAAGTTGCAAGTGACAGAAACCTATCTTGAAATAGATTAAGAAAAGCAGAAGATTTATTGGAAGACACTGGGATAGCTCAAAGAATCAAAAAGCTACAGGAAACAGTCAATTTCGGGGACCTCAGGGTATAAAATAGAGGCTTGTTGCTGTTAAGTCTCTCTCTCTCTCTCTCATACACACACAAACGCACCTCATTTCTCATTTCTCAGCTCTATGTTTTCTCTGTTTACCTTCATTCTCTATTATTGCAAGTAGCCACTCCTAGACAGGAACTTCCTTTAAGACTCTTTAAATTACAAGGAATACGGGCCAGCCCAGTGGTGTAGCCGTTAAGTTCATGTGTTCCATTTCGGTGGCCTGGGGTTCACAGTCCCAGATCCTGGGCAGGGACCTACAGACTGCTTATCAAGCCATGCTGTGGCAGAGTCCTACATACAAAATAGAAGAAGATTGGCACAGATGTTAGCTCAGGGACAATCTTCCTCACCAAATAAATAAATAAATAACAAGGAATAATGTGGTGCTTTTCTAGACCAGTGGCTTTCAAACCTTTTGTAAGCCACTGCAATATACATTGTGTTGTCAACCCAATATAGATACATATAAATAAATGCATATCAGCCAGCTATTTCTGCATAATGTAACAATCAGACCATCTTGGACATGCAACAGTAAACATCTATTTTCACTCAGTTGTCTGTTGGTTAGAGTCAGCTGATCTATGCTAGACTCAACTGGGTGGCACGGCTGATCTTGGCAGGGCTTGCTCGTGCATCTGTGGGTTAGCTGAAATAAGCTGATCCTGTCTGGGTGGTTTAACTTCAGTGGCTGTGCTCCATGTGTCTCTCATCCTATCATTGATACTTGCAGAATAGCCTGAGCATATTTTTCTCATGGAAATGGCAGAAGAGCAGAAGAGTAACCCCAGTTGCACAAATATTCTTCAAACCTTTGATCATGTCACATCTGCTAACATTCCATTGGCTAAAGCAAGTCCAATAGCAAGCCCTAAGTCAAGGTCAGAAATGTATACTCCACCCATGGAGGTGAGGGGAGTGAATATTTTTGAGCAATAATCTAATCTATCAAAAATATATAAATATAACTGAATCAAAAATTCCAGAAAACAATTCTTACCAAACGTTTGGAATGCATGCTGATATTTTCTATTGCATTTCATTTTATTTAGCCAGTTAAGGCTAACTACATTGATTTCATGACCCTTTATTGGGTCGAGATCTGTAGTTTGAAAAACAGTGCTCTAGACAGAAATTGAATCAGACACACATGATCTATGTCTTAGAAGCATAATCTGAACACCAAATGGCGATAATTCTGACAATTCTCTCTCTAGCCTCACTTGCCTGGGGTAGGATGATGGTGTGGGGACATTGGAAGAGTTAGCTTAGTGTTGCTCTAATCAGTGTTACTCAATGTGTTGTCCACAATTAAGCTTTTTCACAGACTGGTGCCAGTCCACAAACTGTTCATTACCAGTCCATAGTGAGATAAGAGGGCTGTGCCAGAATGTAAATGAACACACTGCTTCTTTCATTGAAAAAGCCTTGCTTAAAGAAGAAACAAAAAACCAGCTCAATGAAACTGCACTTTGATGAGGGCTTCTTATCTCAATCTCTGATCAGTAGCAAACAGTTCACAGACTAGCACTTGGAGTAAAATTACCCAAGGAAGACCCAGAATCTTCTAAACAGGAATCTCCATAAAATAGGTAATTTGTGTGTCTGAGACAAAGGAGGGATGCTTTGGAGAAATATATTCTTAAGCATTTCATAAATGTTGGAGAGAGGAAACTAGTAATGAGAAAGCTGAAGAAAGAAGAGCAGAGAGGGACGAACTGATGAGCAAGACTGGAGAATGAAGGAGGGTTGGGACAAGGTGGCTGGGTTGGTCTCCAACAGGAGGCAGTACACCTCATCCTCTGAAACTAGAAAAAACTAAAAGGGGACACGTGCAAATAAATTCATAAGAAAGAGTGTTGGACATTTGGGGTGTTTCATGCCCGAAGGTATCATTCTCTGTGAAGTGGCAAGGTCCGTCTACTGAGAGAGAATGGGGAAAGGTTTTGAGAAGGGTACTTGAAAGTAAGAGTGAAGTTGTAGAAAACCTCACACTTTGCTCTTTCTATTCTTTTCTTGTTACTGCTGTTTTGGAATTGGGGGGATTTGAATTAAACTAAATTTACTTAAAATCCTAGTAAGGTTGTACCACTTTATTCTATTCATTTCATAAACAGTTTCTTATTTAACATAAGGGATTTTTTTTTCTTACAACCTATACATTTCAAATAAATTTCTCAATATTTTGTTATGAAAATTATCAAACATACAGTAAAGTGAAAAGAACTATACAGGGACAGTTAATTTACCTGCCATATGGATTCTGTAGTTTGTTTTTATTCCCTCGTTTTTCTGTGTGAGCCGCCGGCACAGCATGGCAACTGACAGATGGGTGGTGTGGTTCCAGGACCGGAAATGAACCCAGGCCACAGAAACGGTGAGAGTGCCAAACTTTAACCCCTAGACTATCAGAGCTGGTTGTCTTTATTTTTCGTAGGTGACCTTTCTTCTGATCTCAACCCCCAACCCCAATCACAAGCCATCAAATATTCTGCCACCAAATGGAAACCCAAGCCTCTACCTCCCCTTCCCTTGCAGAGGTCAGTGTAGGGACTATGGGGAAGGCTCAGTCTCACATTTCCCTTAAGCTGCCCACTCAGTGTCTCTTCTAGGCAACTGTACTTTCCTCTAGTCAGCTGTGTGTTGCTGTTCTCTGTACTGCTGGTCACTGGGGAAATCTGGGACATAGTGTCCTTCAGGGAAGCGATGGCACTTGGGTAGATTATCACTTCAGTTTACCCAGGATCGCCAGTTAGACTGTGCAGATATATGTGAGTCTCTTTACTGATGGATTGGCCAATTTTAAAAGTGGAATTACAATGGGGGAGAAGAAAGGCTAAAACTCTGCACTGAATGGGCTTCTCCCTGAATCCAGAGGAAAACTATCTGTAGTAAACGCTGTTACTATCCCGCCTCATATCCCTTTGAGTTCGTCATGAAGGTTTCCACACACTGAGGGTTTCTTTCTCAAGCCCCCATGTCTCTCTTCTTTGCCTGAAGGCTTTCTTCAGCCCCACGGAAGCTTGTTCTGCTACAGGCAGGTGCAACACAGAGGTGTAGACGGGGATTACACCTCAACAAATAGGGGATGGAGCGAGTGGATACATGCCCCAGCCTCCTCACCACCAGTGGGACAATTCAGAACTGTGTTCCACACTGTTTCTCAGAGGATCCTTAGTGGGACTGAGCCCTAGTCACCCACTCATTAACAGTAGAAACCCACTGGCTACTAACCCACTCAGTAAAGCACACTTACTGGCTTTTCTCTGTTCCCTGTCTCACTTTTCCATTTCCTCATCTGTGTTTTTTAGAATCACCTCACAAATAAACTTTCTGTATCCAAGTCCTTGTGTCAGATTCTGCTTTTTGAAGACTCCCAAACTAAGATATTGAACAACTTAGATTCTTCAAAAAGGAAGTTCCATGAGTGGAGTCACCCCCAGTCCCTACACTGGCTATCCAGCCTTCAGATTTGTTCCTGTGTCAGACACCTGTTGTGAACCACTTCAGAGTGTCCTGGCCTCACTTATCTTTTATTCTAACTACTGCTGTGGCAACCAGTTGTCTGCGTATTCTTTCAAGTTCCTCTAGGTGCAACCTGGCAATACCTCACGTCAAGCTCATGAAGCTTGCCTCTCACTCTCCCCCTGAGGTTTATCTGTTGACTCCGTGGTGAAGAATACTGTGGAAAACCACCGTGGTGCTCATGCTTATGCAACCTAGGAGATTTCTCACGCCCTTGGGGAGAACCTTTGAGCAATGGGGATGGGATCCAACTGATAAATATTGCCCCCCTTCTGTCCTTCTGTCAGTAGTTGACGCTACTGAGATGAATTTTGGGGGCCTCTTTGGCAGTCCCATGGATCCCGCAACCAGTCACTCAAGTGGTGGCCAACTTGACAATGCACCTTTGCATTGGTTCTCCATCTTTCCTGCCTCTCTCACCCATCCCTCACTCCCGCTCCCTGTTTCACACTCCTCAATAAAGAATGTATATTTAAGTCTTTGTTTCAAGCTCTGCTTTCTGATGTACTAGGCTAAAATAGTACCTTTTTCTTCTTTTCAGCCTCTTTCTTTAATTCTCTCCCATGAGAGTCTTACCAACCTTTTGGTAAACCAAGAGAGGCATGAATCCCTGGATTCATTCTTCTTGCCTTGTTAGTGCAATTCTGTAGATTTGCATCATTCAATCTGAGGTCGTGCCTTGTGGTTTTTGAGGCTAGTCAGGAATGCTAAGTCTCACAGATTTTTTTTTTTTTTTGGTGTGTAGCAGTGGGAGATTTGACACACCTCGTAGTGGGTCCAAGATAGGTGTAAGACTTCTGACTTTGATATACTTATCAGTGTAAATTGCACAACTGTTGCTCTATTTCTGTACCTGATGTGACAAACATGAACACACACATTGCTATGGGAAGCAGCTTGTAAAATGGCTCCTCATGATCAGCTCTCTTGACATTCACACTCTTGTGTAGTTCCTTCCCCTGGAATGTGGGTCGGACCCAGTGATTTGGTTCTAACAAATAGAATACAGCAAAAATGATGGGCTGTCACTTCCAGATTAGGTTATAAAAGACTGACTTCCATGTTGCTCACACTTTCTCTCTGGCTTTTCTCACTTGTTCACTTTGATGAAGCCAGCTGCCATCTTGTGAGATACCCTCTGGAGAAGCCCACACAGCAAGGAACTGAGCGAGGCCTCTGGCCAACTTCAGAGAACTGAGACCTTCAGTCCAATGTCCCATGAGAAACTAAATCCTGCCAGTAGCCTGGTGAATGAGCTCACGAAGCACGTTCTCCCCAGCTGATCTTTGAGATGACTACTGCCCCAGCCAACACCGTGACTGCAGCCTTGTGAGAGACTCTGACCCAGAAGACCCAGCTAAGCTATGCTCTGATTCCTGACCCACATGAACTGTGAGATAATAAATGTTATATTAATACATTGATCAGAACAAACATTAATTCTCTGGGACAATGAATCTAAAGCTGTAAAGAGGAAAGGCATATTAATGACTACATGAGATTTGAAACAGGCCGCTTTCCACAACGCACTCTCCTTGGAGCCAATTAGTCATTTTAAATTGTAGAGTATTTAGTTTCTTTTATACTTTTTTTTTTTGAGGAAGATTAGCCCTGAGCTAACGTCTGCTGCCCATCCTCCTGTTTTTGCTGAGGAAGACTGGCCCTGAGCTAACATCTGTGCCCATCTTCCTCTACTTTATATGTACTTTATATGGACGCCTACAACAGGATGGCTTGCCAAGTGGTGCCATGTCTGCACCCGGGATCCTAACTGGTGAACCCTTGGCCACCGAAGCAGAACGTGCGCACTTAACCACTGCGTCACCAGGCTGGCCCCTAAACTTTCTTTTTGGGCCTTCAGATATAATAAAGGAGTTATAAGGGTTCCTACCTTAGTTAAGCTGAGACCACTAAAATGATGGTTTTAAATGTTCTCCTTCAAGAAAAAGAAGACTCCATCGTATTTTTATGTTGCTTGACCACCTCTCCCTCTCCTTAAAGCATTTATTCATTTATTCAGCAAACATTAATTGAGAACCTATTACTGTGTGAACCAAGTCCTCTGCCTGAGGTTGGGATTACAAAGATTAACTAGATCTGGTCTTTAGTAAGGGAATCTGACAAGTCCACAAGGCCATTAAATACAACTGGCAAGGCCCATCCTAGGATGAGCTTGAGTAGCTATGGAAACACAGAAGTGGATCCTGTAAGACTTTCTGTAGGACCTAATCTCTGAATTAAGACCTGAAGAACAAGTCGTAGATGGCCAGATGGCATAAATGGAAGGGAGTCTCTGGCAAGAGTGGAACAGTGTGTGCAAAGGCCTGGAGCCCTAATCTTTGGGTTACCCTACTCCATCTTTTCTGTGTTTTTAACATCTCCCTTTCCATTTGGCCCCTTCTCCATGGCCTATAAACATCTTAATGTTTCTTACATTTAAAAACAAGGCAAAAAAATAATCCATCCCTCAATATTGTGTCTTCCTCAAGCTACTGCCCTATCTCCCTGCTTCTCGTTGTAGTCATGCTCCTTGAAAGAATATAGGGCCTACCTCAAGTCCGTTACCTCCCATTCCGTCTTTAACCTGAGGACCCAGGGGACCTTCATGGGAAAGAGGAGAGTGGTACAAGGAGAAGAACAAATGGTCATTTAGGAAGGTGGAGGGTAATGAGAAAACAAGAATTCATACTGCATGGGTTCAACTGAAGGTTCCGGGAACTTTGAGGGTGAACAAAGAAGAAAGACTTTGAGTAGCTTCAAGATCTATTCAACGCAATAGGGATAAAGAAAGGGGATTTTTATGAAGTTTTAGGTAGGTGTTTCTCTTTGGGGGTTTCTTCAGAGGGTATAGTAAAGATTTGAATTTCTATTTTAGTTACTTCAGGTTGCTGAATGCCAGGACTGAGCTACAAGTCTGCCTTGCATTACGTGGATTACATTTAACTTTTAAGTTAGCAATGCAATGTTTGGTTTAAAAATTCTAGTGTTCCATATACAATGATATCTTAAGGTACTGGAAGACCAGTATTTTTTGTTGGAATAAAACCATTATTCTAAAAAATTATGAAATTTGAATCATTTATGTGTTATACCACATTCCAATTTCTAATCAAACTGTGTTTCACTTTTTTAGATAAAATTCTTCTATGTCTCCATAATTCTTAAAAGGAAGTATAAATGGCAATAGAAAAGAAGAGCTCCTATTGGTAGAATAATACTTATTTGAGTTCCAGGAACTTCTGAGCAAGTAGAATATGAAAATGGGTACTGAAAGGAATCCAAGAAACTCTCTGCCTTGGGATCCCATCATGAAACTAAAGAAGCCAAAGGAGAACTGGAAATATTTTCTTTTGAAGGAATAAGAACAACAGTTTGCTATCAATGAAAAGATTGCAACCCATGGAAAAAAATAGTAATTAAAAGTATGGTCTCAAAGGTAGTGAGAAGAGATGGGGTAAGAGAATTGAAGATGGATGAAGAGATTTGAAGATGGAGTAAAAAGAAAACATCTGAAGTTAGCTAATGACCCATGAGGCCTTCTTCCAGCTGTTGTAGAATTAGAGCTTTTTCAGCAGCTGGAAAAATGCGCACAAAGATTAAATCACTATCTAATAATGATCAATTGACACACTTCGGAAACGTCTTTTTTTTAAAAAGATCATCTATTTCATTTTCCATTTTTCATGATTAATTACTGTTTCTTTATTTCATGTAGTAGTTAGCTTAGTCTGTTTGTAATACTTTATTCATTTTATCTGCCGGCAACTGATATTACACTGATGATTTATATTTAATGTTTAAATTTTTATAATTTTCCATTTTACTTAATGTATAATTTTTTATTTAAAATGTATTAATCTGACGTTTTTATTTTATGAATTAAAAAGCTGCACAAAAGAAAATACAAGTATTTTAGTTATTATTTGAATCAAATACCACACTCTGGTATTATCCGTATCTCCTGGTATTATAATGATTTTTTAAAACATGCAGTTCTCACATAAAATTGTCTCTGATTCTGCTCCAGGGAAACTCTGGGTTGACTCCCCTGAGCAGCTTGTCAGACCCAATGATCGTGATCACAATACTTCACTGAAATTATGTGTTTATCTCTCTCCCTCTATTGTGTCATAAAGTCCTTGAATATTTATAAAACAGGAAGTAATTTGATTAGTTACAGTGAGGGGGATACTCCTTTCAGCCTTGTTGAGTGTTTGTTTAGTATGAGGAAGGAACTGAAAGCTGCATCAACTCTGGATATACAACAAAATTGAGTTGTGGACATTCCCAGGGCCAGACGGCACTTCACCAGGGCACAACCAGTCAGCCAGCTCTGTCTCATCTTCCTTTATCTTCAACCATGTCTGAAATTGAAGACCATCTGTGCTATGTAATAAAATGCCATACACCATAATAATAATTTTGAAATTTAATATATCTGAAGTCTATACTTATAAAAATCATGAAACAAAAATGTGTTTAAATCTTATTTAAAATGCAAAACCTCATTTTTATTATTTTCTTAGTATCTAACCTGTTGAATAAACAGCTTAGTCATGATCACAATGAGATAATGTATATGGAAGCAATGTGTAAATTGTAAAATGCTACACAAAAGAGTCTGCCTAACAGCTACAGTTAGAGACAAGACATTTCCTCTTCTCTTCCCCAGAGGGAATAATCCTAAATTTGTTAACCTTTCTTAATAGGTTTTCGTTTCCAGCCACACAAATTCTTGATACTGTTTTTCAAAACCCCGTTAAACTGCAGGCAGAAGTGTAGCCCCACACTGATCCTTTAGGTGAAACACGTCCTTATACCAGGGCAAGACAGACTTCCCAGGCCTGCCTCAGGCTGCCTTGGGTCTGGCTGAGACTTCCATTTTCGAGAGGTGCAGCATTCTTTGCTCATTTGCTTTTTCCTCAGTGGAGCATTAGACTCAATCAGGCAACCTTTCTCTGTAGCTCTTCTTTGAAAGCACCAAAAAAGTTAGCTTCAAAATTATTTTAAATAAGAGAGAATATTTAGCCCTTTCCTCTCACTACCTAGGAAAATATGGCAAGTTTTAAGTTTGGGAAAAGATACCTTTCCTTCATTTATGTACAAATGTGAATGACTGCCTTACTACTCACCAGCAAAAATTGTTTCCAGTTCTCAGAAACCCACCATCCGCAGACTTCTAAGTGGCTTATTTGTAGTTGGAACTTAAAGAGATTATGTTATACTTACTTAGTTACTTCAAAATTCTTTTTCTGCATAAGTTGCTACTAAATCAGCATAATTATAGCATACAGTCTTTGAGCATCCCGCTTAATAGTGATTTATTCTTGATCCACTCACTCTCGCTACACTATCCTTGAGGATAATACTGTTTATCTGAGTAATGAACAATTGAGGGGAACAGCATTTATAGAAATAATAAACAGCTGAATAAAGAACAGTTGAAGGAAAGTTTTTATCTTTGCATCTTGCTGAATATTGGGGAGGGA